ATGTCTGTGAGTTCGAGGCCAGCCTGGTCTACAGGAGCTAGTTCCAGGACAGTCTCCAAAGCCACAGAGAAACCCTGTCTCAAAAAACCAAAAAAAAAAAAGCAACTTGGATGTGGAAAGGGTGATTTATAGATTATAGGCCATCATTGAGGAAGGCCAAGGCAGGAATTCATGGCAGGAACTTGGAGACAGGAACCCAGAATCACCTGCCCTTGGGTAGGTTGTGTGTGTTGCCCACAATCAATCATCAATCATGACAATGCCCCAAGGACATGCCCACTGGCCAATCTGATGGAAGTAATCTCTCAATTTCCTCTTTCCAGGCATCTCTATAGTTTGTTTCAAGCTGATTCAAACTAGCCAGCACAGAAGGGCTAGGAGAATGGCAGCCTGAGGGGAGGCAGGTTTCTGCTAGTATGGGTGAACACCCTGCTTTCCTTCTTGGGGACAGCAGCTACTTCCTCTTTTTACTTTTTTATTTTCTAGGTATAGGACACAGCCCTCCTTGTCAGGCCCCTACCTGACATCTGTACTCAGGAAAGAAGTTGGGGATCGAGAATTCTGGCAGCTCCTCCGAGACCCTGACACCCCCCTGCTGCAAGGTGAGTCTGGTGGCTTGTGTCCTGGATACTTCCTACCCCACCCAGTCCTGACCCACAGTGAGGTGAGGCTGCATCAACCCAGCCCAGCCCAGCCTTTCCCCTAATCCTGCCTTGGCCACAGCTTCAGAAACCCACCCAAATGGGGCAACTCATAATCAAATTAGATCCAAATATTTAATTGAATTCTTGGAATTTTTATGAAAGCAGTTATGGAGAATCCAAGAAACAGGAAGGAATAAAAGTCGATATTTCACTACCTAGAATGTGAGAGAATGTGAGTGGGGGTTGATGCAGGGTTGGATCCTTGGTGGTTGTGAGCTGCCTGATGTGGGTGATGAGAACTAAATTCTGGTCCTCTGGAAGAACAGGCAGTACTCTTAACCACAGAGCCATCTCTCCAGCCCAAGTCTTTTTAACTTTTGATATATTTTCTTTTATCTACAAGAAATATGTACAAAGCTCATTTTCATTTAAAATAGAATTATATTCTACCAACACTATCCAACAGATATAAAATGTGTCAGATATATGTGTAATTTTTCTAATATTACATGATATATCTTATTTAGTCCACTATATCTCAGATATTATCACTCAAGAATGTAAAAGCCTGGGGCTGGAGAGATGGCTCAGAGGTTAAGAGCACTGACTGCTCTTCCAGAGGTTCCGAGTTCAATTCCCAGCAACCACATGGTGGCTCACAACCATCTGTTATGAGATCTGGTGCCCTCTTCTGGTGTGCAGATATACATGGAAGCAAAATGTATACATAATAAGTAAATAAAATCTTTTTAAAAAAAGAATGTAAAAACCCAATGTAAAATCACTAATGACATATTTACATGCTTTTTTTTAAGTTAATTTTTTGAGCATGTAACCTAGCTAGCCTTGAACTCAAAATCTTCATGTCTCAGCCTTCTGGGATTAGCAGTGTGTCCTTACCATACTGGCTTTGAAGGCTCCACTTCTTCACCTAACTTTGGGTTAGATTTAAGCACATGGATTTGGGGGGAATACAGATAGTCACACCAAAGCTTGCTGGTTTAAAAGGAAATCTTCCTTGGTGGTGCACACCAGTGCTCAGGATATTGGTGAAGGAGGATTGCTGTGAGTTTGAGGCTAGCCTGGTCTATATAGCCAGATCCCGTCTCAACTACTGTCCCTACCAAGTAAAAATGAGTAGGCAAACAGAACCATCTCTGGACACCTGCATTCTCAAGGGACACTTCTAATTCCTCCAAGTTTGTTTATATTATTTCTAAGTTGTTAATTTTGTGGAGCTAGGAATGAACTCAGGCCTCAGACCTGATGATCTTCCACTAGGCAGATAATCTTTCACTGAGCTACACCCAGCCTGGATGCTGATTTTACCTGGCATTTTCTCCAATGAGAATGTGGTGTTCACCGTGCTAGTGAGTGATAGAGCTGGGCCTTGAAGCCAGGTATCCAATGGACTGAAAGGTCACTTCTGGGACATGACACCGCCTGGACCACACTGAAACAGTCCCTCCATCCGACAATTTTATTTTGAAGTTGGTGACCCTGCCAAGCAGGGGCTACCCCAGTTTCTTTCATGCTGTCATCTAGCTGTTTGTCCCACATCTACCCACTAGGGGCGCCCTCTCTGCTATAAGAGCCTGTGGCTTGAGGGATCCTGCCAAGGCTGGATCAGTCTCCAGCTGGCTCTGCACAGCTCCCAGCTTCTCACCACCAAAACAGAAGTGGGTCTTACAGATGTGGCTTCAGGGTAGTGGTCACTTGATGTGGTTGGGGGTGGGACATTGCCTTGCTAACCTCCTTTGTTCCATTGGTTTCTGCAGGCATTGCTGACTACAAACCCCAGAATGGGGAAACCATTGAGCTCCGGCTAGTTAGTTGGTAGCCTCGGGCTCCCTCCTGATGTCCTTGGCCTCTGCTGCCACCTCATGTGTACTTGGAGCAGAGTCTCTCAGATCACCTCCATTATCTCTACAAAGAGGATCCTAAGCCACTGCCTACCTGGAAGCAGGAAGGAAAAAACCTCCCCTAGGGAGGCTGCTAGTTTAAGTCTAGCCCTGCCTGACCCCAGGGTCTTTTATGAACAGGCTGCCCTTGACCTCCTCCAATAAGTCTGTGGGCTTCAGCAGGGCCTCCCAACGTAATTAAAGCCTTGATTTCCCTTACATGGCTACCATGTTCTGGTGTCTCATGGTCATTACCTGGGGGCAAGGAGCAGAGGCTGTTTGGGGTATCCAGCAGGACTTGTGAATACTCTCCTGTGCATCAGGCAATGAACTGGTACAAACAGAGCTGACTACACCTTTCTAAATATCCTACAGGACAGCCCTGTGGGGCTCCTTCCACATTTTCATTCTCTCACTATAGAGATGAGGGAACCAGGGGTAACAAAGTGAAAGTGACTCACCCAAGGTCATGGCTAGGCAGTAACACTGTAGGAGGCAATGTCAGGCAGGAGACATGACTTAGGGGACAGATGCAGCTACTGACTCCTGATGGACCAAAGATATTTGCTGCAGACTGGGCTGTAGATGAGCAATAGAGAACTTGCCTGGCATGCACAAAGTCTTATGCATGTAGCTGAGGCTGGCTTTGAACACACCATGCTCATGTCTCAGCCTTCTGGGATTACCAGTGTGGCCCCACCATACCTAGCTTTGGAGAGACCTAATAACCTCCCAGTCACCTTCTAATACCATTACTTTGGGTTAGATTTAAGCACATGGATTTTGGGGGACACAGTCACACCAAAACTTGCTTATTTAAAAGGAAATCTCCCTTGGTGGTGCCCACCTATAATCCCAGCCCTCAACATAGAGGGCTACATCCCAGAACTGCATGACATAAGAACTAAACAATATGTGATGGGCTAGGGACATTGTTTCCTCGTTACAGTGCCCTGCCTAGCATGAACAAAGCCCTGAGTTTAACACTATATAAAATCAGGCTTGGTGGAGCACAACTGAGATCAGAGTCCTTGTGAGGCAGAGGCAGAAGCATTAGAAGTTCAAGGTCATTCTCATCTGCATGAGGATTTTGAAGCCAGCCTGGGATAGAACTCTGTCCCAAAACAAAGATGTGTGTGTGTGTGTGTGTGTGTGTGTAGGAGCTAAGGATCAAACCCAGAGCCTTGTGCTTGCTAGGCAACTGCTCTACCACTAAGCTAAATCTCCAACCCCACAAAGCTATATTTGCCCAAAAGATCCCACCCATCAACCTGAAGATAGCCAAGGGCAATCAAAAACTTGAAGTTAGGACTTGCCTACCTCCACCTCTTCCTCTTCTGGGTGTGGTCAGTCACAGCTGTTGTCACCTCCAATTCCAGCTTCCAGGTTCTTCTTTCTGAGTTTATGTCCTAAAGCAGGTGCCTAGTCTGGCAAACTCAGCAGGGACCCAGAGAAGCCAGGGATGAGAAGAAAGTCATATTTGGTTCAGGGCCTCACCATGAGCTCAAAAGGTCCCCTTCTCAGGGGGACCAGTCCATGTGTCATTTACTTCTGACTAAGACCTCCGGGATTGTGCTCTAGTTCATGGTGTGTTTGTGACTGTGGTTTCCTTATAGGTCACATACAGGACACTAGAGCCACAGTATAGAAATAATCCGGTCATCGTGAAACCATAAGAAAAAAAGCTCATACCTCAACATCTGCACCTGGCCACTCTGGATGGCTTCCCTTTTCCTTCCCAGCCTCCTTTCTGCACCACTTGATTTGCAGAAGAGCTGCTGGTCCCCTCAAACAGCAGGGTTCAGATTTGAGGGTGCCATGGGAAATGCAGGCTACTTGGAGATTTTGAGTGGACCCCAAGAAATGTGAAAGGGCCCTCTGCTTCAGTGATGTGTTCCTTGAATCTGGGCCTCAGGCCCTGTCTTCTCCCACAAGCAATGGCCCTCCTACCAAGAGCCCTGTTGTCTATGTGGTTGAGACAGGTTAAATTGGGCTTCAAAAGTGGACAGTGACACACTCTTGTAATCTCAGTGTCTGTACATGCACACACACCACAGATAATAAATTGTTGTAGTACGGGACCACCAGCCCCCAAATAATGACATGAAGACTTCTAATTGTGAAAAATTGGCTTTTAGCTTAGGCTTGTTTCCAACTAGATCTTATAACTTTATTAACACACACACACACACACACACACACACACACACACACACACACACACACGGGTTTTTTGTTTGTTTCAGTTTTTCAAGACAGGGTTTCTCTGTGTAGCTCTGGCTGTAGACCAGGCTGGCCTCAAACTCACAAAGATCTACCTGCCTCTGGCTCCCGAGTGCTGGTATTAAAGGTGTGAGCCACCACCCACTCGGCAAACCCATATTTTTTAAATCTACATTCTGCCTGTGGCTCTTTACCTTTCCTTGGTACGGCATGTCCAACTTGCTGTGACTCTGCTGGCACAATCCGTGGGCCTAGATTCCTCTTCTCAGTCCTCTCTCTGCCTGGAAGGTCCACCTAATTCTCTCCTGCCTAGCTATTGGCCATTGAGCTTTTTATTAAACTAATCAGAATGTGCCTTAGATAGAGACACATCTTCACAGTATACAAAAAGATTATCCTACAACAATAAACAAAAAATTTAAAATTGGAATACTTTTTAATTGAAAGACACTTAGTGGATAATGGATTTAAAATCCCAGAGGAATATAGCTCACAGGAAGCCCAAGATTCTTCCTGACTCAGTTTCCCTCTCATAACTCTTCTTGGAGAAACTATCTAAATGCCCCCAGATTTTGGTCCTCTGCCTGGAAGTCCCCATCTACGGTCTCTGTTCTTCAACTTGAGCTACTCAGCAGCGATCTGCGGGCTCCCACGGGCATCAGACTCATCAGAGGCAAGTGTGACAACGTAGATTCCTGGTTCATCCGGGACAGAGGTTTAATTCAGGTCTCCAGTGGAACTGGATGGTTGTGAAGGATTTGGAATACTTACGGCCATGCGAGTTTATGACCACCAGAGGGTGCTGCGGGCCGAGCTACACAGTCCCGCTTTGCGATCTTGTTTTTCTGGGCAGGTTTTCATCCAAGATTGTTAGTCAGATGACAGAGACAGGTGATGCCTGTCCAGGTGGGCGGGAGCTTCCCCAGAAATCCAATGACTGAAAAGAAGCTAGGTTCCAGAATTGGGGGCTTGATTCTTGATCACCTGAAGCAAGCTGGGCTTGGAATAGGCCTCTGGGATGAGCTACTTACCCTATCCTGAATTCAGGGAACATCTATATATTTTTCGGATGGGAAATCTGAGAACCATCCAGGAGCACGGTTTTAGTGGCAGCTTCTCGGCCTCTGGGCCCAGGATTCTGTCGCGTGGCCCCAGGAAGTCCAACTATGAGTCACCTTGGAGTGCTCAGGGAGCAGCACACGGGGTCAGCTAGCCTGATTTGGATGCCAGCCAGCAGTACCCTGCTTCTCGTAGCTGTGGTTAGCCCTGGTGATTCATTTCCCCTTTTGCTGGCCCAGAGGGGGCGCCGCCCTAGCCTGGCAGTGGAGAAAAGATTTGGAGGGGGATAAAGAGGGAAACAAAGATGAGGCAGTCTTTTTTTTTTTTTTTTTTTTTTTTTTTTTTTTTTTTTTTTTTTAAAGGGGTTTTTTTTTTGTCTTTTGTGGCTCTTCTCTGCCCTCCTCTTGGCACTCACTCTGGAGACCAGGCTGGCCTCGAACTCACAGAGATATGCCTGCCTCTGCCTCCCAAGTGCTGGGATTAAAGGCGGGCCGGCTGTTTTGTTTTTCGAGACAGGGTTTGTCCCCGGCTTTGGAGGCTGTCCTGGAACCAGCTCTTGTAGACCAGGCTCACAGAGATCCGCCTGCCTCTGCCTCACGAGTGCTGAATGCTGGGATTAAAGGCGTTTGCCACCACTGCCCAGTTTGTTTGGATTTTTCTTTTTTTTCTTTCTTTCTTTTTTTTTTTTTTTTTTTTTTTTCGTTTTTCGTGACAGGGTGTCTCTGTGGCTTTGGAGGCTGTCCTGGAACTAGCTCTTGTAGACCAGGCTGGTCTCGAACTCACAGAGATCCGCCTGCCTCTGCCTCCTGAGTGCTGGGATTAAAGGCATGCACCACCAACGCCCGGCTGGATTTTTCAAGACAGGGTTTTTCTGTATAGGCCTGGCTGTCCTGGAACTCTGTAGATTGGGCTGGCCTCAAACTCAAGAGATCCACCTTCTTCTGCTTCCTGAATACTGGGATTAAAGGCATGTGCCACCAAAGCCCGGCGATCAGGCAGTCTTAAGGGACCACGTGGTCCAGGTCGGATCAGGAGACATTTGTTGCCTAGCATCACGTGGTTTTTTCTTTCTTTCTCTTTCTTCTTTCTTCTGTTTTTCGAGACAGGGTTTCTCTGTAGCTTTGGAGGCTGCTTGGAACTCGCTCAGTAGACCAGGCAGGTCTTGAACTCACAGAGATGAGCCTGTCTTTGCCTCCCACCGCCCTGCCAAGGCCCTGCATCTTGACCACAGCTTTGGGATATCTTCATAGGATACCGGGTTTCCAGAGCTGGATACTGGTCTTTAAGGGGAGATCTTCTTGGTGCTGGAGACGGCCCAGATTCCGGCTGGTGGCTGGTAAGGCCAACACGTACCACTGAGAGACTTCGCCCGCAGCTGCGCAAACTGAGCCAGGAGGCGCAAAGGCTGTGGGAGGGGCTAGAGGTCCTCCGGACTCCGGGGCGGGGCCTCGTGGGGCGGGACCCGGGTTGG